TGCAGGTCAGTGTTTCACTCATGGAGGTCAGTGTGTCACTCATCCTGTCACTCATGCAGGTCAGTGTGTCACTCATGCAGGCCAGTGTGTCACTCATGCAGGTCAGTGTGTCACTCATCCTGTCACTCATGCAGGTCAGTGTGTCACTTATGCAGGTCAGTGTGTCACTCATGCAGGTCAGTGTGTCGCACATGCAGGTCAGTGTTTCTCCAATGCAGGTCAGTGTTTCACTCATGCAGGTGAGTGTGTCACTCATGCAGGTCAGTGTTTCACTGATGCAGGTCAGTGTTTCACTCATGCAGGTCAGTGTGTCACTCATCCTGTCACTCATGCAGGTCAGTGTGTCACTTATGCAGGTCAGTGTGTCACTCATGCAGGTCAGTGTGTCGCACATGCAGGTCAGTGTTTCTCCAATGCAGGTCAGTGTTTCACTCATGCAGGTCAGTGTTTCACTCATGCAGGCCAGTGTGTCACTCATCCTGTCACTCATGCAGGCCAGTGTGTCACTCATGCAGGTCAGTGTTTCACTCATCCTGTCACTCATGCAGGTCAGTGTGTCACTTATGCAGGTCAGTGTGTCACTCATGCAGGTCAGTGTGTCGCACATGCAGGTCAGTGTTTCTCCAATGCAGGTCAGTGTTTCACTCATGCAGGTCAGTGTGTCACTCATGCAGGTCAGTGCGTCACTCATGCATGTCAGTGTTTCAATCATGCAGGTCAGTGTGTCTCTCATGGATCGTCAGTGTATCACTCATGCAGGTCAGTGTGTCACTCATGCAGGTCAGTGTGTCCCTCATGCAGGTCAGTGTTTCACTCATGCAGGTCAGTGTTTCACTCATCCTGTCACTCATGCAGGTCAGTGTGTCCCTCATGCAGGTCAGTGTTTCACTCATGAAGGTCAGTGTGTCACTCATGCACGTCAGTGTGTTACTCATCCTGTCACTCATGCAGGTCAGTGTGTCACTCATGCAGGTAAGCGTGTCAATCATGCAGGCCAGTGTGTCACTCATGCAGGTAAGCTTGTCACTCATGCAAGTCAGTGTGTCACTCATGCAGGCCAATGTGTCACTCATGCAGGCCAGTGTGTCACTCGTGCAGGTCAGTGTTTCACTCATCATGTTACTCATGCAGGTCAGTGTTTCACGCATCCTGTCACTCATGCAGGTCAGTGTTTCACTCATGCAGGTAAGCGTGTCACTCATGCAGGTCAGTGTGTCACTCTTGCAGACCAGTGTGTCACTCATGCAGACCAGTGTGTCACTCATCCTGTCACTCATGCAGGTCAGTGTGTCTCTCATGCAGGTCAGTGTTTCACTCATGAAGGTCAGTGTGTCACTCATGCAGGTCAGTGTGTCACTCATCCTGTCACTCATGCAGACCAGTGTGTCACTGATCCTGTCACTCATGCAGGTCAGTGTGTTACTCATCATGTCACTCATGCAGGTCAGTGTGTCTCTCATGCAGGTCAGTGTGTCACTGATCCTGTCACTCATGCAGGTCAGTGTGTCTCTCATGCAGGTCAGTGTGTCACTCATCCAGTCACTCATGCAGGTCAGTGTGTCCCTCATGGACGCCAGTGTGTCACTCATGCAGGTCAGTGTGTTACTCATCCTGTCACTCATGCAGGTCAGTGTGTCTCTCATGCAGGTAAGCGTGTCACTCATACAGGTCAGTGTGTCACTCATGCGGGCCAGTGTGTCACTCATGCAGGCCAGTGTGTCACTCGTGCAGGTCAGTGTTTCACTCATCCTGTCACTCATGCAGGTCAGTGTTTCACTCATCCTGTCACTCATGCAGGTCAGTGTGTCCCTCATGCAGGTCAGTGTTTCACTCATGCAGGTCAGTGTTTCACTCATCCTGTCACTCATGCAGGTCAGTGTGTCCCTCATGCAGGTCAGTGTTTCTCTCATGAAGGTCAGTGTGTCACTCATGCAGGTCAGTGTGTTACTCATCCTGTCACTCATGCAGGTCAGCGTGTCACTCATGCAGGTAAGCGTGTCGATCATGCAGGCCAGTGTGTCACTCATGCAGGCCAGTGTGTCACTCGTGCAGGTCAGTGTTTCACTCATCATGTTACTCATGCAGGTCAGTGTTTCACTCATCCTGTCACTCATGCAGGTCAGTGTGTCACTCATGCAGGTAAGCTTGTCACTCATGCAAGTCAGTGTGTCACTCATGCAGGCCAATGTGTCACTCATGCAGGCCAGTGTGTCACTCATGCAGGGCAATGTGTCACTCATGCAGGTCAGTGTGTCACTCATGCAGCTATGTCTGTCACTCATGCAGGTCAGTGTGTCACTCATGCAGGTCAGTGTGTCACTCATCCTGTCACTCATGCAGGTAAGTGTGTCACTCATGCAGGCCAATGTGTCACTCATGCAGGTCAGTGTGTCACTCATGCAGGTCAGTGTGTCACTGGTGCAGGTCAGTGTTTCACTCATCGTGTCACTCATGCAGGTCAGTGTGTCACTCATCCTGTCACTCATGCAGGTAAGTGTGTCACTCATGCAGGCCAATGTGTCCCTCTTGCAGGTCGGTGTGTCACTTATCCTTTCACTCATGAAGGCCAGTGTGTCACTCATGCAGGTCAGTGTGTCACTCATGCAGGTCAGTTTGTCACTCATTCTGTCACTCATGCAGGTCAGTTTGTCACTCGTCCTGTCACTCATGCAGGTCAGTGTGTCACTCATGCAGGTAAGTGTGTCACTCATCCTGTCACTCATGCAGGTTAGTGTGTCACTCATGCAGGTCAGTGTGTCACTTATCCTGTCACTCATGCAGGTCAGTGTGTCACTCATCCTGTCACTCATGCAGGTCAGTGTGTCACTCATGCAGGTCAGTGTGTCACTCATGCAGGTAAGTGTGTCACTCATGCAGGTAGGTGTGTCACTCATGCAGGTCAGTGTGTCGTTCATGCAAGTAAGTGTGTCACTCATCCTGTCACTCATGCAGGTGAAGGTGGGTGTGTCACTCATGCAGCTTAGTGTGTCACTCATGCAGGTAAGTGTGTCACTCATGCAGGTAAGTGTGTCACTCATCCTGTCACTCATGCAGGTCAGTGTGTCACTCATGCAGGTAAGTGTGTCACTCATGCAGGTAAGTGTGTCACTCATGCAGGTAAGTCACTCATGCAGGTAAGTGTGTCACTCATGCAGGTCAGTGTGTCACTCATGCAGGTCAGTGTGTCACTCGTGCAGCTCAGTGTGTCACTCGTGCAGGTCAGTGTTTCACTCATCCTGTCACTCATGCAGGCCAGTGTGTCACTCATGCAGATCAGTATGTCACTCATGCAGGTCAGTGTGTCACTTAACCTGTCACTCATGAAGGCCAGCGTGTCTCTCATGCAGGCCAATGTGTCTGTCATCCCTCTAACAATCATCTTGTCACTCATGAAGGCCAGTGTGTCACTCATGCAGGTCAGTGTGTCACTCATGCAGGTCAGTTTGTCACTCATTCTGTCACTCATGCAGGTCAGTTTGTCACTCGTCCTGTCACTCATGCAGGTCAGTGTGTCACTCATGCAGGTAAGTGTGTCACTCATCCTGTCACTCATGCAGGTTAGTGTGTCACTCATGCAGGTCAGTGTGTCACTTATCCTGTCACTCATGCAGGTCAGTGTGTCACTCATCCTGTCACTCATGCAGGTGAGTGTGTCACTCATGCAGGTCAGTGTGTCACTCATGCAGGTAAGTGTGTCACTCATGCAGGTAGGTGTGTCACTCATGCAGGTCAGTGTGTCGTTCATGCAAGTAAGTGTGTCACTCATCCTGTCACTCATGCAGGTGAAGGTGGGTGTGTCACTCATGCAGCTTAGTGTGTCACTCATGCAGGTAAGTGTGTCACTCATGCAGGTAAGTGTGTCACTCATCCTGTCACTCATGCAGGTCAGTGTGTCACTCATGCAGGTAAGTGTGTCACTCATGCAGGTAAGTGTGTCACTCATGCAGGTAAGTCACTCATGCAGGTAAGTGTGTCACTCATGCAGGTCAGTGTGTCACTCATGCAGGTCAGTGTGTCACTCGTGCAGCTCAGTGTGTCACTCGTGCAGGTCAGTGTTTCACTCATCCTGTCACTCATGCAGGCCAGTGTGTCACTCATGCAGATCAGTATGTCACTCATGCAGGTCAGTGTGTCACTTAACCTGTCACTCATGAAGGCCAGCGTGTCTCTCATGCAGGCCAATGTGTCTGTCATCCCTCTAACAATCATCTTGTCACTCATGCAGGTCAGTGTGTCTCTCATGCAGGCCAATGTGTCTCTCATCCTTCTAACAATCATCCGGGTCACTCGTGCAGGTCAGTGTGTCTTTCATGCAGGTAAGTGTGTCTCTCCTCCTGTCACTCATGCAGGCCAGTGTGTCTCTCATGCAGGTCAATGTATCTCTCATCCTTCTAACAATCATCCTGTCACTCATGCAGGTAAGTGTGTCACTCATGCAGGTAAGTGTGTCACTAATGCAGGTCAGTGTGTCACTTAACCTGTCACTCATGCAGGCCAGCGTGTCTCTCATGCAGGCCAATGTGTCTGTCATCCCTCTAACAATCATCTTGTCACTCATGCAGGTCAGTGTGTCTCTCATGCAGGCCAATGTGTCTCTCATCCTTCTAACAATCATCCGGGTCACTCGTGCAGGTCAGTGTGTCTTTCATGCAGGTCAGTGTGTCTCTCCTCCTGTCACTCATGCAGGCCAGTGTGTCTCTCATGCAGGTCAATGTATCTCTCATCCTTCTAACAATCATCCTGTCACTCGTGTAGGTCAGGCGTCACTCATGTCCAGACATTACCCTTCCCTCCAGACATGACCCCACCCTCCAGACGTGACCCCCACCCTTCAGACGTGACCCCCACCCTCCAGACGTGACCCCCACCCTCCAGACGTGACCCCCACCCTCCAGACATGACCCGACCCTCCAGACGTGACCCCCATCCTCCAGACGTGACCCCCACCCTCAATGACATTACCCCTTCGTGACATCCTACGTTTTCACTCTCTGTTTCAGCTCAGCTTGGGCTGGGTCTACCTGTTTATGGGGATTCTGATTGGCTCAGCCGTAATTCCAATCACGTTATCCATGTTCTGGGAGCGACTGACGTCAGCCGCAATGATGGCAGGGAGCATTGGCGGAGCAATCATCGCCATCGTCGTCTGGTTGAGCGTCGCCTCGACCTACCCTGGTGGCCTCGATGACTTTCTCATTAACACAGGTAACGTACTGTTGCCACACAATCATGTACAGCACTGTCACACGTCCCCCTCTTACGCCCCTCACACCTGTATACATCCCTCTTACGCCCCTCAAACCTGTACAGCACTGTCACACGTCCCCCTCTTACGCCCCTCACACCTGTATACATCCCTCTTACGCCCCTCAAACCTGTACAGCACTGTCACACGTCCCCCTCTTACGCCCCTCACACCTGTATACATCCCTCTCACGCCCCTTACACCTGTACAGAACTGTCACACGTCCCCCTCTTACGCCCCTCACACCTGTATACATCCCTCTCACGCCCCTTACACCTGTACAGAACTGTCACACGTTCCCCTCTTACGCCCCTCACACCTGTATACATCCCTCTCACGCCCCTTACACCTGTACAGAACTGTCACACGTCCCCCTCTTACGCCCCTCACACCTGTATACATCCCTCTCACGCCCCTTACACCTGTACAGAACTGTCACACGTCCCCCTCTTACGCCCCTCACACCTGTATACATCCCTCTCACGCCCCTTACACCTGTACAGAACTGTCACACGTCCCCCTCTTACGCCCCTCACACCTGTATACATCCCTCTCACGCCCCTCACACCTGTACAGAACTGTCACACGTCCCCCTCTCACATCCGTCTCGTACGCCCCCTTCACACCTGTACACATCCCTCTCTCACGCCCCCTCACACCTGTACACATCCCTCTCTCAAGCCCCCTCACACCTGTACACATCCCTCTCTCAAGCCCCCTCACACCTGTACACATCCCTCTCTCACGCCCCTCACACCTGTACACATCCCTCTCTCGCCCCCTCACACCTGTACACATCCCTCTCTCAAGCCCCCCTCACACCTGTATACATCCCTCTCATGCCCCTCTCATTCCTGTACACATCCCTCTCTCAAGCCCCCTCACACCTGTATACGTCCCTCTCATGCCCCTCTCACTCCTGTACACATCCCTCTCTCACGCCCCCTTCACACCTGTATACGTCCCTCTCTCACGCCTGCCTCACACCTGTACACGTCCCTCTCACGCTCCCTCACACCTGTACACATCCCCCTCTCAAGCCCCCTCACACCTGTATACATGTACGTCCCTCTCACGCCCCCCTCACACCTGTATACGTCCATCTCTCACGCACCCTTCACACCTGTACACATCCCTCTCTCACGCATCCTTCACACCTGTATACGTCCCTCTCTCACGCACCCTTTTCACCTGTACACATCCCTCTCTCACGCCCCCTCACTCCTGTATACGTCCCTCTCTCACGCCCCCCTAACACCTGTATACGTCCCTCTCTCACGCACCCTTCACACCTGTACACATCCCTCTTTCACGCCCCCTCACACCTGTATACGTCCCTCTCATGCCCCCCTCACACCTGTACCACACTGTGACACCTGTACCACACTGTGACACCTGTACCACACTGCGACGCGTGTCCCACACTTTGACGCCTGTACCACACTGCGACGCCTATACCACACTGCGACACCTGTACCACACTGCGACACCTGTACCACACTGCGACACCTATACCGCACTGTAACACCTGTACCACAATGCACCACCTGTACCACACTGCGACACCTGTACCACACTGTAACAACTGTACCACACTGCAACACCTGTACCACACTGCAACACCTGTACCACACTGCAACACCTGTACCACACTGCAACATCTGTACCACACTGTAACACCTGTACCACACTGCAACACCTGTACCACACTGTAACAACTGTACCACACTGCAACACCTGTACCACACTGCAACATCTGTACCACACTGCGACACTTGTACCACACTGCAACACCTGTACCACACTGCAACACCTGTACCACACTGCAACATCTGTACCACACTGCAACATCTGTACCACACTGCAACATCTGTACCACAATGCAACACCTGTACCACAATGCAACACCTGTACCACACTGCAACACCTGTACCACACTGCAACACCTGTACCACAATGCAACACCTGTACCACACTGCAACACCTGTACCACACTGCGACACCTGTACCACACTGCGACACTTGTACCACACTGCAACACCTGTACCACACAGCGACACCTGTACCACACTGCGACACCTGTACCACACTGCAACACCTGAACCACACTGCAACACCTGTACCACACTGCAACATCTGTACCACAATGCAACACCTGTACCACACTGCAACACCTGTACCACACTGCAACACCTGTACCACAATGCAACACCTGTACCACAATGCAACACCTGTACCACAATGCGAAACCTGTACCACAATGCAACACCTGTACCACAATGCAACACCTGTACCACAATGCGACACCTGTACCACACTGCGACACCTGTACCACACTGCGACACCTGTACCACAATGCAACACCTGTACCACACTGCGACACCTGTACCACACTGCGACACCTGTACCACACTGCAACACCTGTACCACAATGCAACACCTGTACCACAATGCGACACCTGTACCACACTGCGACACCTGTACCACACTGCAACACCTGTACCTCACTGTAACACATGTACCACACTGCGACACCTGTACCACAATGCAACACCTGTACCACACTGTAACACCTGTATCACAATGCGACACTTGTACCACAATGCGACACCTGTACCACACTGCGACACCTGTACCACACTGCAACAGCTGTACCACACTGCAACACCTGTACCACACTGCGACACTTGTAACACACTGCAACACCTGTACCACACTTTGACACATGTAGCACACTATGACACATGTAGCACACTATGACACCTGTTGCACACTATGACACCTGTATCACACTATGACACATGTACCACACTATGACACCTTTATCACACTATGACACCTGTACCACACTTTGACACATGTTGCACACTATGGCACATGTACCACACTATGACACCTGTATCACACTAAGACACATGTACAACACTATGACACCTGTAGCACACTATGACACATGTAGCACATTATGACACCTGTAGCACACGATGACACCTGTATCACACTATGACACATGTAGCACACTATGGCACCTGTAGCACACTATGACACCTGCACAACACTATGACACCTGTACAACACTATGACATCTGTACGACACTATGACACATGTACCACACTGCGACACATGAACCACACTATGACGCATGTACCACACTATGACGCATTTAGCACACTATGACACCTGTAGCACACTATGACACCTGTAGCACACTGTGCCACCAGTAGCACACTATGACACCTGTATCACACTATGACACATGTACCACACTGCAACACCTGTACCACACTGTAACACATGTACCACACTGCACCACCTGTACCACACTGCGACACCTGTACCACACTGCGACACTTGTACCACACTGTAACACCTGTACCACACTATGACACATGTAGCACACTATGACACATGTAGCACACTATGACACCTGTTGCACACTATGACGCCTGTAGCACACTATGACACCTGTAGCACACTATGACACCTGTTGCACACTATGACGCCTGTAGCACACTATGACAGCTGTAGCACACTATGACACCTGTTGCACACTATGACACCTGTTGCACACTATGACGCGTGTAGCACACCATGACACCTGTACAACACTATGACACCTGTACAACACTATGACATCTGTACCACACTATGACACATGTACCACACTATGACACATGTACCACACTATGACACATGTACCACACTATGACGCATGTAGCACACTATGACGCCTGTAGCACACTATGACACCTGTAGCACACTATGACACCTGTTGCACACTATGACGCCTGTAGCACACTATGACAGCTGTAGCACAATATGACACCTGTAGCACACTATGACACCTGTTGCACACTATGACGCGTGTAGCACACCATGACACCTGTACAACACTATGACACCTGTACAACACTATGACATCTGTACCACACTATGACACATGTACCACACTATGACACATGTACCACACTATGACACATGTACCACACTATGACGCATGTAGCACACGATGACACCTGTTGCACACTATGACGCCTGTTGCACACTATGACACCTGTAGCACACTATGACACCTGTAGCACACTATGACACCTGTAGCACACTATGACACCTGTACAAAATTATGACACCTGTATGTTTCAGGACAGGAGTTGTCGATGCTGTGTGGAAACCTAACTGCCATCTTATCAGGGGGGATGATCACAATAGTAGTCAGCTTAGTAACCAATCGCAGCCAAGATCCAAGCAAATCTCGCGAGATTTGGGAGCAGACACGTGACGTAGACAACCCTCTCTGCCCCTGGACAGAGAAATATGCGCAGTAAGTTGTGGCTCCTTTGAACACCCTCCATTAGAACGTTTATCGACCACATGGGAAACGTCATTATTCCTACAGTTGGACATCAGTTGTCGGGACTACACGGGCAATTAAACAGTGTCATTATGTCCTTGGACTACACGGGCAATTAAACAGAGGCATTGTGTCCTTGGAATACATGGGGAAACGATGGCATACATCAACCAAGTGAGCGAGTCTGACCACCCGATCGCGTTACTCGCCTCTGGCGACAAGCATGGGTTGGAATCACGATGGAAGTATGATGACACCAGGTGTTAATGTATAATAATAAATGTCAACACAATCGTCTCAACTTGGACAACAGCTTTTTTTGAATATATTGAAAATTAAGTACCATCACTATTCCCGAACGTTTATATCAGTTGTCTGGAAGAAACTTGAACTACCTATGGTCGCCATTGCCGAACGTATATAGAAGTTGTCCGGAAGAAACTTGAACTACCTATGGTCGCCATTGCCGAACGTTAATATCAGTTGGCTGGGATATGCTTGAACTACCTATGGTCAACATTGCCGAAGTTTGTCATCATTTATCTCTCAACAATATGTGTCAACTTTGTGCTTATACTATTGTAGAACATTGGTTGTGATCTTCTTGTAAAACATGCGGCAGTAATCTTCATGTAAAACATGCGGTGGTTATAATCTTGTAAAACATGCGGCAGTGATCTTCATGTAAAACATGCAGTGGTTATATTCATGTACAACATGTCGTGCTGATCTTCATGGAAAACATGCGGTAGTGATCTGCATGTAAAACGTGCTTTGGTGTTAATCGTATAAAACAAATGTTGGTGATCTTCATGTAAAACATACTGTGGTGATCTTCATGTTAAACATGCGGTGGGGATCTTTATGTAAAAATGCGGTGGGGATCTTCATGTACATCATGTCGTGCTGATCTTCATGTAAAACATGCGGTGGGGATCTGCATCTAAAACATGCGGTGGCAATATTCATTTCAAACATGCTGTGTTGATCTTCATGTAAAACATGCGGTGGTGATCTTCATGTAAAACATGATGTGGTTATATTCATGTAAAACATGCGGTGATGATCTTCATGTAAAACATGCGGTGGAGATCTTCATGTAAAACATGCGGTGGTGATCTTCATGTAAAACATGATGTGGTTATATTCATGTAAAACATGCGGTGATGATCTTCATGTAAAACATGCGGTGGAGATCTTCATGTAAAACATGCGGTGTTTTTTTTTCTTGTAAAAAATGAAACTCAATATGTTCACAAGCTTAAATTCATTTGAGCACCAATCAGGTGGTTATTTTACGTAAGCATCTACAACAGCTAACCCTCAGTGCCAAACACGACGCTTGGAATAAGCTGGACACTACTCGCCAGCCTTCTGAGTGTCAGATCTCTGGGCCGAAAGGTTTCTAAAATTCGTGGATTATAGTTTCCTTTCCTTTATTTTGAAATTGTAAAATGCATTATATATTTGTTGTTCTGCAGGAATGTATTCTGAAGTATTCGTGGAAAAAAAGAAATGCTAGTTTCAGAGGATTATGTACTGTCCGCAATACGTGTGATACTACAGCGGGTCATTGTTGATGCAGCCGGACATTGTTGATGCAGCGGGTCATTGTTGATGCAGCGGGTCATTGTTGATGCAGCAGGACATTGTTGATGCAGCGGGTCATTGTTGATGCAGCGGGTCATTGTTGATGCAGCAGGACATTGTTGATGCAGCGGGTCATTGTTGATGCAGCAGGTCATTGTTGATGCAGCGGGTCATTGTTGATGCAGCAAGTCATTGTTGATGCAGCAGGACATTGTTGATTCAGCAGGACATTGTTAATGCAGCGGGTCATTGTTGATGCAGCAGGACATTGTGGATGCAGCGGGTCATTGTTGATGCAGCAGGACATTGTTGATGCAGCAGGACATTGTTGATGCAGCAGGTCATTGTTGATGCAGCAGAACATTGTTGATGCAGCGGGTCATTGTTGATGCAGCAGGACATTGTTGATGCAGCGGGTCAATGTTGATGCAGCAGGACATTGTTGATGCAGCAGGACATTGTTGATGCAGCAGGACATTGTTGATGCAGCAGGACATTGTTGATACAGCAGGACATTGTTGATGCAGCAGGACATTGTTGATACAGCAGGACATTGTTGATGCAGCAGGACATTGTTGATGCAGCAGGACATTGTTGATGCAGCAGGACATTGTTGATGCAGCAGGACATTGTTGATGCAGCAGGTCATTGTTGATGCAGCAGGACATTGTTGATGCAGCGGGTCACTGTTGATGCAGCAGGACATTGTTGATGCATTGGGTCATTGTTGATGCAGCAGGACATTGTTGATGCATTGGGTCATTGTTGATGCAGCAGGACATTGTTGATGCAGCGGGTCATTGTTGATGCAGCAGGACATTGTTGATGCAGCAGGACATTGTTGATGCAGCGGGTCATTGTTGATGCAGCAAGTCATTGTTGATGCAGCGGGTCATTGTTGATGCAGCAGGACATTGTGGATGCAGCGGGTCATTGTTGATGCAGCAGGTCATTGTTGATGCAGCGGGTCATTGTTGATGCAGCAAGTCATTGTTGATGCAGCAGGACATTGTTGATTCAGCAGGACATTGTTGATGCAGCGGGTCATTGTTGATGCAGCAGGACATTGTGGATGCAGCGGGTCATTGTTGATGCAGCAGGACGTTGTTGATGCAGCAGGTCATTGTTGATGCAGCAGAACATTGTTGATGCAGCGGGTCACTGTTGATGCAGCAGGACATTGTTGATGCAGCGGGTCAATGTTGATGCAGCAGGACATTGTTGATGCATTGGGTCATTGTTGATGCAGCAGGACATTGTTGATGCAGCAGGACATTGTTGATGCAGCAGGACATTGTTGATGCATTGGGTCATTGTTGATGCAGCAGGACATTGTTGATGCAGCGGGTCAATGTTGATGCAGCAGGACATTGTTGATGCATTGGGTCATTGTTGATGCAGCAGGACATTGTTGATGCTTTGGGTCATTGTTGATGCAGCAGGACATTGTTGATGCAGCGGGTCATTGTTGATGCAGCGGGTCATTGTTGATGCAGCAGGACATTGTTGATGCAGCAGGACATTGTTGATGCAGCCGGACATTGTTAATGCAGCAGGACATTGTTGATGCAGCGGGTCATTGTTGATGCAGCAGGACATTGTTGATGCAGCGGGTCATTGTTGATGCAGCAGGACATTGGTGATGCAGCGGGTCATTGTTGATGCAGCAGGTCATTGTTGATGCAGCAGGACATTGTTGATGCAGCGGGTCATTGTTGATGCAGCAAGTCATTGTTGATGCAGCGGGTCATTGTTGATGCAGCAAGTCATTGTTGATGCAGCAGGACATTGTTGATGCAGCGGGTCATTGTTGATGCAGCGGGTCATTGTTGATGCAGCAGGAAATTGTTGATGCAGCGGGTCATTGTTGATGCAGCAGGACATTGTTGATGCAGCAGGTCATTGTTGATGCAGCAGGACATTGTTGATGCAGCGGGTCATTGTTGATGCAGCAGGACATTGTTGATGCAGCGGGTCACTGTTGATGCAGCAGGACATTGTTGATGCAGCGGGTCAATGTTGATGCAGCAGGACATTGTTGATGCATTGGGTCATTGTTGATGCAGCAGGACATTGTTGATGCAGCAGGACATTGTTGATGCAGCAGGACATTGTTGATGCATTGGGTCATTGTTGATGCAGCAGGACATTGTTGATGCAGCGGGTCATTGTTGATGCAGCGGGTCATTGTTGATGCAGCAGGACATTGTTGATGCAGCGGGTCATTGTTGATGCAGCGGGTCATTGTTGATGCATTGGGTCATTGTTGATGCAGCAGGACATTGTTGATGCATTGGGTCATTGTTGATGCAGCAGGACATTGTTGATGCAGCGGGTCATTGTTGATGCAGCAGGACATTGTTGATGCAGCGGGTCACTGTTGATGCAGCAGGATATTGTTGATGCAGCGGGTCATTGTTGATGCAGCAGGACATTGTTGATGCATTGGGTCATTGTTGATGCAGCAGGACATTGTTGATGCATTGGGTCATTGTTGATGCAGCAGGACATTGTTGATGCAGCAGGACATTGTTGATGCAGCGGGTTATTGTTGATGCAGCGGGTCATTGTTGATGCAGCGGGTCATTGTTGATGCAGCAGGACATTGTTGATGCAGCGGGTCATTGTTGATGCAACAGGACATTGTTGATGCAGCAGGACATTAGTTGCGGGGAACAAATGTGAGATTCCATACGCTCATTAGTAAAGGTGTAACGACGATACATGTAACATCTAGTGTGCCCGCCATGTAAGGCAATACATGCACCACACCTTGATGGCATACGGTCCATTAACCTGCGTATGGCTGCCATTGGCATTGCCTGCCATTCCGCCTGAAGAGCTACATGTACCCCAAGCTAATCCACTTGGGCGGGTCCCGGTCTCTGCATGGAGGTACCGTGATGACAAAATAAATAGCACATTGTTATAATCATCATTGGTTACTGGCGTTCTTTCAGCATGACGGTCTTTGATCAGATCCAGCAGATACTAAGATTGTTCACGTCGGCTTAGTTCTTTTCTTATCTTATCCTGTACTCAACTGTTTTAAAACTTAAAATGAAGTTTCGACAGAAGATGACTTTGATAATATACATGATTAAGCGTTGAAGAAAGCACAGTACTTATTGCAGAGTTAACAAGAGGTGAAATCCTAAACTTCGTTCAGGATTTGAAAAAAAGATGTTTGTCTACTCAATATAAGTAATGAATTTATTTCAACCATTAACAACTGATCAAGACAATATCTACAGAAAGAACCATGTCCTCTCGACAAACGCAGACAATCAATTTCTAATGAAGAACGTGGTGACAGCGACCCAAGGACAACCGAGTAACCATTGAACTGGGTGTCCCATTTCAGAATGGTATCTTGTCGTAATAAGGTAACCGTCTATCAGTTGTTCTGGTCACTAAGGTAACGGCTGCTAATCCTCCATTACAGAGACCTGTGCCTGACCGGGGCGCACCAGCTGGACAACCGTCCGTCGCTGCAGGAGGTGGAGAAGACGTTCAAGAAGGCGAAGTACTTCGCTAACATCGGTTCCGTGGTGTTCTCTCTTCTCCTGGTGGTTGTGTGGCCATGCATCATGATCGCTGTCGATATCATGTCGTACGACCAGTTCTTCGGCTGGGTGAGTCTGTACTCTTGAACTAATTCATCTAGTGGGTGAGTGAGTAGTCTTTTACGCCGCTTTAAGTAATATTTCAACAAAACCACGGCGGGGGACACAAAAAATGGGGTTTACATATTATAATCATGTGTGGAATCGAACCCGGACATTCAAGGTACCTGACCCTTCTCTGACAGTTGATACAAGGTTATATCAAGGTGTACCTGTCCCTTGACTGACAGTTGATACAAGTGTATATCAAGGTGTACCTGTGCCTTGACTGACAGTTGATACAAGTGTATATCAAGGTGTACCTGTGCCTTGACTGACAGTTGATACAAGGGTATATCAAGGTGTACCTGTGCCTTGACTGACAGTTGATACAAGTGTACATCAAGGTGTACCTGTCCCTTGACTGACAGTTGATACAAGTGTATATCAAGGTGTACCTGTGCCTTGACTGACATTTGATACAAGGTTATATCAAGGTGTACCTAGGCCTTCTCTGACATTTGATACAAGGGTATATCAAGGTGCACCCGTGCCTTCTCTGACAGTTGATATAAGTGTATATCAAGGTGATCCTTGGCCTTGACTGACGTTTGATACAAGGGTATATCAAGGTGTACCTGTGCCTTGACTGACAGTTGTTGCAATTGTATATCAAGGTGTACCTGTGCCTTGACTGACAGTTGATACAAGGGTATATCAAGGTGTACCTGTGCCTTGACTGACAGTTGATACAAGGATATATCAAGGTGTACCTGTCCCTTGACTGACAGTTGATACAAGGGTATATCAAGGTGTACCTGTCCCTTGACTGACAGTTGATACAAGGGTATATCAAGGTGTACCTAGGCCTTCTCTGACAGTTGATACAAAGATATATCAAGGTGTACCTGTGCCTTCTCTGACAGTTGATATAAGTGTATATCAAGGTGTACCTGTCCCTTGACTGACAGTTGATATAAGTGTATATCAAGGTGTACCTGTCCCTTGACTGACAGTTGATACAAGGATATATCAAGGTGTACCTAGGCCTTCTCTGACAGTTGATACAAGGATATATCAAGGTGTACCTGCCCCTTGACTGACAGTTGATACAAGGGTATACCAAGGTGTACCTAGACCTTCCCGAACAGTTGATACAATGGTATATCAAGGTGTACCTGGCCCTTCCCTGATAGTTGATACAAGGGTATATCAACGTGTACCTGGGCCTTCCCTGACAGTTGATACAAGGATATATGAAGGTGTACCTGGCCCTTCCCTGACAGTTGATACAAGGGTATACCAAGGTGTACCTGGATCTTCTGTGACAGTTATATGTATATCTCATTTCCTGTTGTTGCAGGCCATGTTGTCGGAGGTGTGGGCGTTTGCGGCCATGGTGATCATCATCTTGTTTCCCGCCGTCAACGAAGCCTACGACATCTACCAGGCCTTCTACCAGAAACAGAAGGTGGTACCCGTGTCCAGCCTACCGAAAACATCGGCAAGTCTCAAACATGCCTCAGCCAAACCAGAAACAGGAATCTCACTCACACAAAGCTCCATATCTAACGGAAAGGACCACGGCGACGCAATGACAGACACACTGGCGACAATAACGGAAACTGGTGGTCACGTGGGAGATGAGGCTGAACCAATGGGAGACGCCGTAGTAGAAGGAGACATGGATTCATCCAACCCTCGCTGTCCAGAGTTTTGAGTTTCTGATAATTTCAATAGTAAAACACGTTCTCTGTACATATAACCGAAGTCATGTCACAAACAGATCGATGGGGGTGAGATGCCATGGGGTTGAATGTCGCGTCCAAGATCATCGCACTTATGGAGTGACGTGCATGCACGTGTGTGTGGCTGTTTGTACTATCCCTGACTGATAGAGACGCCATCCCGCAGTTTACCCCACTCAGACACAGTTTACTGACTCAGGACGACCATTCCTTGTTTTAGCTATTCAGTGCGAGCTCCAGTTAAGGTAACAACAAGTAGCATCTTTTAACGTGTTTTGGTATGACGCGACCGGGGATCGAACATCGGACCTTCCGCTCTTCGGGCGGATGCTTGACCAATAGACCACGGCGGTGCTCAGATCGATGGAGTATATGATGACATATAACCAAAGTTATGTGGCACACAGATCTTGTAACATTGTGTTAATGATAACGAACATCCACATATAGACTGACCCCTGATGTGCGTGTTTATCCTCAAGAGCGTACTTGGGCCTTCGCTGACAGTTAGAACAAGGCTATATAAAAGTGTTACCTAGGCCTTCCCTGACAGTTGATACAAGGGTATATCAAGGTGTACCTAGGCCTTCTCTGACAGTTGATACAAGGGTATATCAAGGTGTACCTAGACCTTCCCTGACAGTTGATACAAGGGTATATCAAGGTGTACCTGGTCCCTTCCCTGACAGTTGATACAAGGGTATATTAAGGTGTACCTGGTCCCTTCCCTGACAGTTGATACAAGGGTTTATTAAGGTGTACCTTGGCCTTCCTTGACAGTTGATACAAAGGTATATCAAGGTGTACCTAGGCCTTCCCTGACTGTTGATACAGGGTATATCAAGGTGTACCTAGGCCTTCCCTGACAATTGATACAAGGGTATATCAAAGTGTACCTAGGCCTTCCTTGACAGTTGATACAAGGGTATATCAAGGGGTACCTTTGCATTCTATGACAGTTGATACAAGGGTATATCAAGGTGTACCTAGGCCTTCCCTGACAGTTGATACAAGGGTATATCGAGGTGTACCTTGACCTTCTCTGACAGTTGATACAAGGGTATATCAAGGTGTACCTTGACCTTCTCTGACAGTTGATACAAGGGTATATCAAGGTGTACCTAGGCCTTCCCTGGCAGTTGATAACAGGGTATATCAAGGTGTACCTTGACCTTCTCTGACAGTTGATACAAGGGTATATCAAGGTGTACCTTGACCTTCTATGACAGTTGATACAAGGGTATATCAAGGTGTACCTAGGCCTTCCCTGACAGTTGATACAAGGGTATATCAAGGTGTACCTTGACCTTCTCTGACAGTTGATACAAGGGTATATCAAGGTGTGCATGGGCCTTCTCTGACAGTTGATACAAGGGTATATCAAGGTGTACCTTGACCTTCTCTGACAGTTGATACAAGGGTATATCAAGGTGTACCTTGACCTTCCCTGACAGTTGATACAAGGGTATATCAAGGTGTACCTAGGTCTTCTCTGGCAGTTAATACAAGGATATATCAAGATGTACCAAGACCTTCTCTGACAGTTGATACAAGGGTATGGTACTTGTTGTTACCCTGTCTGGCGCTCGGCATTAAGGCGCTAAAACAAGGACTGGTCGGCTCGGAGTCAGTTTACTGTGTCTGAGCGGGGTATTTATGTTAAACTGCGGCATGGTATCTCAGTGGGCTAGCACTATAAATCGGCATCAGTCCGGACTAGTACAAGCAGCCACATACACACACGTGCATGCACGTCTCTATATAAGTGCAATAATCTTGGACGCGACGTTAAACCAGATTTCACCTCACCTCACCTGATACAAGGGTATATTAAGGTGGAGCTCGTCTTCGACAAAATCAGTCAACGAATGCCCCGTGTCCCCGACTGGAGCGTGTGTAGATGTGTGCGAGCTGTAAGTTATGGATGGATGACACCTGACTCCACGCCTGGGCAGTAAGATCCACAGTGGGGCCTGTTGACGTGGTAAGGTGCAAGGATGAAGGCTGGTGTTCATCTCTGTGTCTCGTGTACTTCACTCATATCGGTCATCTCGTATAGCTCGTATCCCGTACAGTGACAAGGGTGAAGGAGAAACCCATGTGGGTGTATTGCACTCATATCGGTCATCTCGTATAGCTCGTGTCCCGTACAGTGACAAGGGTGCAGGAGAAACCCATGTAGGTGTACTTCACTCATATCTGTCATCTCGTATAGCTCGTATCCCGTACACTGACAAGGGTGCAGGAGAAACCCATGTAGGTGTACTTCACTCATATCGGTCATCTCGTATAGCTCGTGTCCCGTACACTGAGAAGGGTGAAGGAGAAACCCATGTAGGTGTACTTCACTCATATCTGTCATCTCGTATAGCTCGTGTCCCGTACACTGAGAAGGGTGAAGGAGAAACCCATGTAGGTGTACTTCACTCATATTTGTCATCTCGTATAGCTCGTGTCCCGTACAGTGACAAGGGTGAAGGAGAAACCCATGTAGGTGTACTTCACTCATATCTGTCATCTCGTATAGCTCGTGTCCCGTACAGTGACAAGGGTGAAGGAGAAACCCATGTAGGTGTACTTCACTCATATCTGTCATCTCGTATAGCTCGTGTCCCGTACAGTGACAAGGGTGAAGGAGAAACCCATGTAGGTGTACTTCACTCATATCTGTCATCTCGTATAGCTCGTGTCCCGTACAGTGACAAGGGTGAAGGAGAAACGGAAGACCCATGTAGGTGTATTGCACTCATGTCCAGTACTATATGTTTCATATCAACCATTAAACAACTATTTAATATCAACTATGGAATAGTTTGCGTTCATTTTCTGTTGTGTATCGGTATTCATCACGTACGGTTGGTGGAAGTAAAACCTCCGAGCGTGACGAATGTGTCACACACTGCAATGCAATCACAACACAATTCATCTGTCAGTATCTGCCTTTGTCTATCCTGTTGGGACCGACCATGTGGGGTTTTGTACTGAAATTGGATATTTTCTGCTTCGGCTGCAAAACAAGACACTTGTTTATTTAGTCTGAATTTATTTAACACCTTGCAACAATGCAATTTGTGTGGCAGGTAATTTCCTTTTTCTTGCAAAGGTTTGAAATAAATACAAGAATATTCGGGGCAGGCCAAAGCACCCCTCCCCCGCACAGGTCTACAAGCACAGATATGAAAACCCATTCCGCTAGCGTCTCCGCCATGTCGCCTTCACTTGTGAAAGTAATTTGTCTAGATGCCCAGTGACTCGATCGCCGGAAATTACCCCAACGGATACCGTTTTATCTGTTGTGTTTGTCTGCCGAGACACCTATCACCTATAAGTTATAAGAGCTTCCCGATGGTCAGGGAGTTATGACGTACAATAATCTAGCCAGTCCAAAATGTCTGTTATAACACGTGGTCTGCAGGTGTCTATTCCCTGTGTACTGACGTAACATCGATATCACTTCTTCCAACATGTTGAACTCAACCAGGCCACATCCTTGACCTTAGGGTAGCCCGCCATAATCGCCCGATAGTACTTTGACAGTCGGTAGTATCTGAAATCGACGGAGAGTGAGTGAATTGGTTGCACCTCGTTTAGGACAGTATTTCACTTCTATCACGGTGTGTCAGCTTGATGTGGGAGGAAAGCCCGAAGTGATGCAGGTCTCAGACGTTTACCACTTCGGTGAAACCCCCGAGCACGGACATGGTGCTGACAAACCTAGAAACACAATCGGGCGAACCGGGATAAGACCCATGATCATAAGTTTCTGGCACGCCTGCGAGATTTGTGAAATGACCAAAACGTTGAGAAATTATGATCCGTTTGTTGTTTCGAGGTTTTAGGAAGCAGAATCTTATACTTCAACACCAGTCTTGTTTCCAGGATGTTAGAAAACATATGTAGAAACGTGTGTTGAATCATTCATACTACGTCACAGATTTGCATTGGTGACAGTAACTTTTCACGATGCTCTCGCAGGTTCAGCTGGCGGTCTCTGTCACCGATCTTCACTCTTCATCATCTCAGTCAAGACAATTTCCACACGATCTTTTTAAACTGAACACTTTGCCCACGCCACTAATTGTACACTGGTATATGAACCCACACCTCTAACGCTGGTATATGAACCAGCTAAACAGTATGGTATATTTTTAAACATAGGTTTAATTAAATCATTTTTCCGCATTACATCACGTTCGTTGCCATGACTCGCAGGCGAAACACACTTTTCCACTGAAGGATTCGAACTCGATTCGGACTCAACCACCCGACCATTGGCAACACCAGATACTCCTCACAGCGTCTTCCTTACTTGTTGTTCCTGAAGAAGTAGACGCTGCCGTCCCCCCACTGTACCGCGGCGTCGATGGGGGATGGGAGACCTCGCCAGAACGTCCTGATCCAGAGGTACGACCCCACTCTACTGTCTCTATCTTGATCGTACACCCACACGTAGCGCTTCTACACAGAAACACGTGACACATTGTTAACATACACCCACACGTAGCGCTTCTACACAGAAACACGTGACACATTGTTAACATACACCCACACGTAGCGCTTCTACACAGAAACACGTGACACATTGTTAACATACACCCACACGTAGCGCTTCTACACAGAAACACGTGACACATTGTTAACATACACCCACACGTAGCGCTTCTACACAGAAACACGTGACACAGTGTTAACATACATCCACACGTAGCGCTTCTACACAGAAACACGTGACACATTGTTAACATAAACCGACACATAGTGCTTCTTCACAGAAACACGTGAGAGACTGTTAACATATACCCACACGTAGCGCTTCTGCACAGAAACACGTGACACAGTGTTAACATACACCAACACGTAGCGCTTCTACACAGAAACACATGACACATTGTTAACATATACCCACACGTAACGCTTCTACACAGAAACACGTGACATACTGTTAACATACACCCACACGTAGCGCTTCTACACAGAAACACGTGACACATTGTTAACATACACCCACACGTAGCGCTTCTACATAGAAACACGTGACATACTGTTAACACACACCAACACGTAGCGCTTCTGCACAGAAACACGTGACACAGTGTAAACATACACCCACACGTAGCGCTTCTGCACAGAAACACGTGACACATTGTTAACATACACCCACACGTAGCGCTTCTACACAGAAACACGTGACACAGTATTAACATACACCCACACGTAGCGCTTCTACATAGAAACACCTAACACATTGTTAACATACATCCACACGTAGCGCTTTTACACAGAAACACGTGACACATTGTTAACATAAACCGACACATAGTGCTTCTTCACAGAAACACGTGAGAGACTGTTAACATATACCCACACGTAGCGCTTCTGCACAGAAACACGTGACACAGTGTTAACATACACCCACACGTAGCGCTTCTACACAGAAACACGTGACACATTGTTAACATACACCCACACGTAGCGCTTCTACACAGAAACACGTGATACATTGTTAACATACACCCACACGTAGCGCTTCTACACAGAAACACGTGACACATTGTTAACATACACCCACGCGTAGCGCTTCTACACAGAAACACGTGACACATTGTTAACGCCAACCACACGTAGCGCTTCTACACAGAATCACGCGACACATTGTTAATATACACCCACACGTAGCGCTTCTACACAGAAACACGTGACACATTGTTAAGATACACCCACACGTAGCGCTTCTACACAGAATCACGTGACATACTGTTAACATACACCCACACGTAGCGCTTCCACACAGAAACACGTGACATACTGTTAACATACATCCACACGTAGCGCTTCTACACAGAAACACGTGACATACTGTTAACATACACCCACACGTAGCGCTTCTACACACAAACATGTGACACATTGTTAACATACACCCACACGTAGCGCTTCTACGCAGAAACAATTGACACATTGTTAACATACACCCACACGTAGCGCTTCTACACAGAAACACGTGACACATTGTTAACATACACCCACACGTAGCGCTTCTACACAGAAACACGTGATACATTGTTAACATACACCCACACGTAGCGCTTCTACACAGAAACACGTGACACATTGTTAACATACACCCACGCGTAGCGCTTCTACACAGAAACACGTGACACATTGTTAACGCCAACCACACGTAGCGCTTCTACACAGAATCACGCGACACATTGTTAATATACACCCACACGTAGCGCTTCTACACAGAAACACGTGACACATTGTTAAGATACACCCACACGTAGCGCTTCTACACAGAATCACGTGACATACTGTTAACATACACCCACACGTAGCGCTTCCACACAGAAACACGTGACATACTGTTAACATACATCCACACGTAGCGCTTTTACACAGAAACACGTGACACATTGTTAACGCCAACCACATGTAGCGCTTCTACACAGAATCACGTGACACATTGTTAACATACACCCACACGTAGCGCTTCTACACAGAAACACGTGACATACTGTTAACATACACCCACACGTAGCGCTTCTACACACAAACATGTGACACATTGTTAACATACACCCACACGTAGCGCTTTTAAACAGAAACACGTGACACAGTGTAAACATACACCCACACGTAGCGCTTCTACACAGAAACACGTGACACAGTGTTAACATATACCCACACGTAGCGCTTCTACGCAGAAACAATTGACACATTGTTAACATACACCCACACGTAGCGCTTCTACGCAGAAACACGTGACACATTGTTAACATACACCCACACGTAGCGCTTCTACACAGAAACACGTGACATACACGTATAGTCGGTGAGTGGGGTTATGGGAGACAAAGGAACGAATTAATAAATGACAAAACGCAATGAACTCACGCCAAAGACGTAAATCTTAGTCTTTCCCCTGTAGTCCCGCTCGCCTAGGGCAGCGACCGGTCTCTCCGGGGGGTAGGGGGATGGGCGTGTCGGGTACCCCCTGTCCAGACGGAACCTGGTGTAGCGCCACACCCTGTAACCTGTGACGTCATAGCATGTGTGATATAATTGTATCTCAAACGCTGTAACCAGGCGACCGTGTGACGTCATAGCATGTGTTATATCATTATTTATTACTTGCCCGTGAAGAGATCACCCGTTTAATAAACATACGCGTGCTTGTGTACTCTCGGAACACGTTTCACGAACAAATATTGAAAGCTCTCAACATCTCTTGGCTTATTCAAAAACATTGCGTGTGGAGTTGATAGATCACTGAGAGGAGCTTATGCACACACGATGACCCCAGCAACCTTGTTGCTAGGCTGACGTCACATGGCATTGTTTCGCCGATGGGTCTTGCAACAAAATTCCACAAATTACGTCATCGGGTATTGTGACGTTATTGTAAAGTTTGAGGTACAAGGCCCGTTCTACAAGGCGATCGTATTGTAGCGCAACGACAGTTAGTCGTTAATCTAAGTTAAGTATGTGAGTTGCGATAGTCTTAGCCCTACGATAATTTTGTGAATTCTAAAGGTGGACCGTTGTATGGTATTAAATTCATACCTTTCAACTTTTGACTTGTTTGAAGTATTATTCTGTTAAACTCAATTGGACTATGCCGTGGATCGTGTAGGTGTCAGCTAGCCTATTCATACTCAACAGTATAATTCTAAAAACGTTGTAAATGGCAAGTAATAAATAAAATACTAAACTCGCTCCCGTGTAAAACCAATTTTATGAAACTCGTGAATAGTTGTGGTATCAGACTCACTTTCGCTCGTCAGATACCAGAACTATTCACTCGTTTCATAAAATTGGTATTACACGGGAGCTCGTTTAGTATTCTATATACATCTTATACCCTGTAACCTGGCGAACATGAGACGTCATAGAATGTGTTAGATAGAGAATCTCACCCGAGTGTCTTTTGATATCAAATATATCAACACGAGTTGATATAAGTGGAAAAACTTTTTCAGTTTGTAGACACTAATAAGCAGTGTCTAAGTGTAAACAGTACTGCTCACAGCTTCAGTCGCAGAGCCATTAGTGATGTCATTTGATTGTGACGTCAAGATAGTCAATGACGTCCCAATGGTCTGCAAAGCATTGTGATGCAATTTCATTGCAGCGATATCTACAATGTGGATATCACTTGATCTCGCCCAAGCGATATCTCCTGTGGGAGCCAGTTTTGGATGATAAACCAGTATTTTGCTTACACCCTCGCTGACTTGGTTGATGCATGTCATCGTATACCAATAGCGTAGATCGATGCTCATTATGTCAATCACTGGATTGTCTGGTCAAGATTCGATTATTTACAGACCGCCGTCAAACAGCTTGAATATTTCTGAGTGCGGCGTTAAACAATAAACAAATTCATATACTATATATTATATAGTATATGAATTTCATATCTACATTACATAATTGACGTATTATATTCACATCATTACATATCTGACACCCCGTTCCTGTAGAACCTGGTCAATACATTATCCTTACAGTTACTACGGCAGACTAGCAGGGCCATCATACAGTCAGCATTCCAATCTGAAATACACGACCACAGAAATACAAACTGCCATTTCAACGTTGTAGACTGACTTGCACACACACCGCCTCTACAACTGCTGAGGCAGATCATCGAGGCCAGAACAGTCAGTTAGTTACCTTTGAATATATACAACCTCTTCTTTTCCGCCACATACACCGCCGCGGAGATATGTATCGGTGACCCCTTCAATACCCGTCGGAGACGATAGGGTCCTCGGTCCAAGGCCGCCCCTTCCTCGCCCCGCCCCTTCAGGCTGTACACGTGACGGCCGCTGAGCACATATCCCTGTTTCCCTGGCCCTGTATTAGAACAACACAATCTGAACACACGCTCTCTCACCTCCAACCCCCTGCCCCATCTGCCGCTCCTCCCCTCCCCCGACCCACGAAGGCCACACTTACGACATCACAGATGGAACATTACGGCCCCAAGTACGAGTTCTTGTCATTATATTTTCCGGGAGCTATGACGATTTGAACTGATGTTCATGTAAAGCGCAAATTGTAAACAGCCGGATATTCGTGGTTGATATTCGAGGTACAACAGTTAACCACGTGGTGTGGGAATGATCTTGAGTAGTTGATGGCCCCGTTCCAGGACCGCTCCTGGCTTCTGATTGGTCGGTTGGGTCACGTGACCTCTGATGACGTCACTTCCGGTTTCGGTTTGCGCAGGGCAGTACACATGTAAACATACACGAGTGCCAACTCCTCGGTATAAATAATAATCCTATGGATAAACGTCTGTTTGTAGTCACGCATGGCACCACGTTTGCATGGAAAGACGTAGTACATGACGTTTGCATGGAGACACGCGTGACAGTACGCATGTAGACATACACGAGTGTCAACTCCTCGGTATAAATAATAATAATAATAATAATCCTATGGATAAACGTAAACGTCTGTTTGAAGCCACGCATGACATCACGTGTGCATGGAGACATGAAGTAGCATGGAGACACGAATGACAGTACGCATGTAAACATACACGAGTGCCGACTCCTCGGCGTGGATGAACGAATGACAACATCACACATGTCTATCAATCTATACGTCTAGTAACGTGTGTTTGTAGTCACGCGTGACACCACGTTTGCATGGAGACACGACATGTCTGTGCATGTCGATTCACCTTTAGAAATTCAGGCAACACCTTTGGAATGCCACAACATGATCGTAGCGCTAAGGTGATCGCCACACACCTACCGTAACTTAGACAGACGACCGTCATTGCACTACAAAATGATCGCCTTGTGGAACGAAACCTTACATCTCAAAGTTTACAATCACATCACCATACCCGATGATGTCATTTATGGAATGTTGTTGCAAGATCCTTCGCCGATATGACGTCAACCTAGCAACACAGTGGCAGGGTCTTCGACTGTATATGATAAGCTCGTCTCAGTGAGCTATCATCTCCACATGCCATCGCCACACCAGTCAGTGTCCTGTCAGGAGACAGGTGGCAGGCCATCCGTGCCTTTGCACCACAGCACCTATGTGGGTGAAGAGTTAGTCTCTCACGATCAAACGGCCCTTTTCAGGGCCACCCATCTCACCCGAAAGAACGCTTTTCATCCATGGCTTTGACGACCCTCAAACCCAAACAAAGAACCCACCTCCTCCTCCTCCTCCTCCTCCTCCCTCCACCACCACCGCCTCTTCTATTTTAAGAAAAAAACACACAAAAACTGTACATCCAAGATTTTACACGCGCTGCTTTCAATGTCGATCTTCTTTGGATTTCCCCCTCCTCCCCGGAAACGGATGTGCCGCCCTCTTGGAGGTGCGCACGCCACCGGAAACGGATGTGTCGCCATCTTGGATGCGCACGCCACCGGAAACGGAAGTGCCGCCATCTTGGATGCGCACTCATGACCCACAATGCCACGTGACCCAACCGACCAATAAGAAGCAAGGAGCGGTCCTGGAAGGGGGCCATCAACTACTATCTTGTGTCTGTCGGGGTAGTACCATAAATGACGTCATCGAATGGCATGTTGCACGTGGTTGGTTCAGGCGTTGACGTAGGTGCTACTGCTGCAGCTGTTGACGTTGATACTGATGGGGCTGGGACAGGCCGTGCACCTGCAAAGACAGAATCTAGATTTTAAATCTCTCAGAACAATGAAAGTGGTACTGCCGCCGCCTCCGTGGTCTCGTGGTAGAGCGCAAGGTCCGGGGTTCGATTCCCGGCCGTGTCATACCAAAAGACATTAAAAGATTGTATTTATTGTCATCCTGCCTGGCGCTCGGCATTAGGAGGCTAAAACAGGGACTGGTTGACCCGAAGTCAGTATACTGTGTCTGAGTTGGGTATTCATGTTAAACTGCGGCGTGGTATCTCAGTGGGCTAGCACTATAAATCGGCATCAGTCCGGACTTGTACAAGCAGCCACACACGCACGCACGCACGCACGCACGCACGCACACACACACACACACACGTTCATGCACGTCGCTATATAAGTGCAATAATCTTGGACGCGACGTTAAACCCCATTTCCCCTTACCTCACAGAAGGTTTGTCTTTTCAAATAGGTCTTACAAACCTCTTACCGTAAAACGTCTGGAGTTTCCTGACGTCATCATAGGATAAACTCAGGGACGGGTCATAACCCTTGTAATGTGCGTACATGACAGCTTTCCGGTCACGTGAGTGCGGCATCCCCAGCGCGTGCCCCGCCTCGTGTAGCGCCACCACAAACAAATCCTTGCTGGTGGTGTCGTTGTCGTCAAGCGTCCATCTCTCATCGTCGTCGAAGTGGATGTCGCCGGCCACAGCAGCGTCGCCAGGACCAAATGCGTGAGCTAACTGTGGACCTGAAGCATTGACTGTGGACCTGAAGCATTGACCACGAACAGGCGGTCATCACCTACTCACAGCGTCTCCACAGACGATTCCAACACGATACTCACGCACGCACGCACGCACACACACACACACGCACACGCACGTACGCACGCACACACGCATGCACGCACGTACGCACACACTAACATACTCACACACAATCTTACCCGATGTCCTCTTACATACACACGTATATCCTTGAAGTTCTCTGATGTGATTTTAACACAGACCCTTCTCTGATGTCACACTACGCACACATCGACTCATCACATACACACGAGCGCGCGCATACACACATTTAGACCATTTCTACCCGACCGACCTCCCTCCGTCCACCCGTAACAGTACGCAGACATGAAACGCCGTTGATCTTCGTGATCACAAAACACAGACACACACGCAAACGCACACACACACACACAAAATAACATACAACACACACATATATACACTTACACACAGACACACACAACCTCTTATGTTCTCTTACACGTAAATCCTTCTCTGATGTCAACTACACACAACACAGACTCTTCATGATGTCATATTAAACACACACATACACACACTCACACACATTTATACCACGCGTCTTGACCTCGGTGACCTTTAGGAAGGTCGAATCACGTGGGTTTTCCTTACCAGAGCCATCGAAAGCGTACTGATTGCCGTCCCCGTGACTACCCCGTCCGAAGACAACCTCTATGTCGGCATCACTGCTGGTGTGCACTACTGTAAGGTTCGCCTGCGACGCCCAGATGCCAAACACACGCTTCAGTGTTGCCCTAGTAACGGGATGCGTTATTATTATTATTTTGATCAAATATGTGTAAGTTTAACAGACAGACCGCCTCCGTGGTCTAGTGGTAGACCGTCCGCCCGGAGAGCGGAAGGTCCGGGGTTCGATCCCCGGCTGCGTTATCCCAAAATAAACTAAGCGGCAAAAGAAAGTATAGGTTGGCAATTTGTAATTTTCCTAAAAACTGCGATAACTAGTGGAAAGTGGGTATTGTGAATATGATTGCCCAGGAACAGGTACCAAAATACACCTCACCCGAACGCGCCACCTTTGATGGCGCTCGTGCAGTGACAAAAAATGGTGAAACAGGTTTAACGCCTATGGCATAAACTGCACGTGCATGTTAGCTGTATAAATGCGTTCGTCTGCAGGGTCTTCGTCTTCGGCTCCGGCGTGTATTCGAGAGGTCCATCCATTCGGCGGGTGAGATGTCATGGTGTGGGGCGGTATTTGTGGAGATCAGAAGACTGATTTGGTGATTATACAGGGAAACCTGAACGCTGTGCAGTACAGAGACCAAGTGTCGCAGCCAGTTGTGCTTCCGTCCTTACAAAACCAACAGCAGGGGACATTGTTTCAACACGACAATGCCAGGCCCCTTACTGCAAGACTGACTCGGAACTTTCTAAACCAGCAGAACGTTGACGTTTTCCCCTGGCCTGTCCACTCACCCGATATGAATCCTATTGAACATCTGTGGGACCATCTTGACAGACAGATTAGAGCACGCCATCAGCCTCCCGTCAACAGACAAGAATTGCAGCAGGCCCTGAGAGACGAGTAGCAACGGATTCCAGTCCACGTCATCAGAAGACTGACGTCATCGATGAGGCAGTGTATCACAGCATGCATTGAGGCAGCTAGAGGTCATACACGCTATTGAAGGCAACTGTGTCGACAATGAACTTGTAGTGTGTCTGACACTTTTTTAGTGACATTTCAGACAACTTTTGAAAATGAAATGTCTTACCCCACCATTGTTTACCTTGAGCTTACATTACCTGTGATTGCACAATTTCATTCAAACTGAGGTTGATCAATCATTTGTTACCCCTCCCTAGATTATATCATAATTCACAACAAAACCTCTTCTTGTTATTTTTTTTATCGATCATGACACTCGACCTAAATTTTCTTTTGCCGCCCAGTTTACGTTAAAAAATGGCACTTGTTGTTACCCTGTCTGGTGCTCGGCATTAAGGGGCTAAAACAAGACTGATCGGCTCGGAGTCAGTATACTGATGTATTCATGTTAAACTGCGGCATATGATCTCAGTTGGCTTGCACAATGAATCGGCATCAGTCAGGACTAGTGCACACACACACACACACACACGCACGCACGCACGCACGCACGCACACACACACACACACGGTATATAAGTGCAAAAATCAAACTCCATTTCACATCACCTTCTAGTGTGTATCAACGATTTCTGTGTATATTGCTGGAATATTGCTAAAAGCGGCGTAAAACAATACTCACACACTCACTCACTCTGTGTATATACGTCTTGTGTTTTTACGTTCACTTTGACCGTACTTTTAGTGTGTATCAACGTTTTCTGTGTATCTACGTCTAGTGTGTATGTACGTTTACTCTGTCCGTACTTCTAGTGTGTATCTACGTCTAGTGTTTTTGTACGTTTACTCTGTCCGTACTTCTAATGTGTATCAACGTCTAGTGTTTTTGTACGTTTACTCTGTCCGTACTTCTAGTGTGTATCAACGTCTAGTGTGTTTGTACGTTTACTTTGTCCGTACTTCTAGTGTGTATCAACGTTTTCTGTGTATCTACGTCTAGTGTGTTTGTACGTTTACTCTGTCCGTACTTCTAGTGTGTATCAACGTTTTCTGTGTATCAACGTCTAGTGTGTATGTAAGTTTACTTTGTCCGTACTTCTAGTGTGTATCAACGTCTAGTGTGTTTGTACGTTTACTCTGTCCGTACTTCTAGTGTGTATCAACGTTTTCTGTGTATCTACGTCTAGTGTGTTTGTACGTTTTCTTTGTCCGTACTTCTAGTGTGTATCAACGTTTTCTGTGTATCAACGTCTAGTGTTTGTACGTTTACTTTGTCTGTACTTCTAGTGTGTATCACAGTTTTCTGTGTATCTACGTCTAGTGTTCTGTACGTTTACTCTGTCCGTACTTCTAGTGTGTATGTACGTTTTCTGTGTATCAACGTCTAGTGTTTTTGTACGTTTACTCTGTCCGTACTTCTAGTGTGTATCAACGTTTTCTGTGTATCAACGTCTAGTGTGTTTGTACGTTTTATTTGTCCGTACTTCTAGTGTGTATCAACGTTTTCTGTGTATCAACGTCTAGTGTTTGTACGTTTACTTTGTCTGTACTTCTAGTGTGTATCAAAGTTTTCTGTGTATCTACGTCTAGTGTTTTTGTACGTTTACTCTGTTCGTACTTCTAGTGTGTATCAACGTTTTCTGTGTATCAACGTCTAGTGTGTTTGTACGTTTACTTTGTCCGTACTTCTAGTGTGTATCAACGTTTTCTGTGTATCAACGTCTAGTGTGTTTGTACGTTTACTCTGTCCGTACTTCTAGTGTGTATCAACGTTTTCTGTGTATCAACGTCTAGTGTGTTTTTACGTTTACTTTGTCCGTACTTCTAGTGTGTATCAACGTTTTCTGTGTATCAACGTCTAGTGTGTTTGTACGTTTACTTTGTCCGTACTTCTAGTGTGTATCAACGTTTTCTGTGTATCAACGTCTAGTGTGTATGTTAGTTTACTCTGTCCGTACTTCTAGTGTGTATCAACGTCTAGTGTGTTTGTACGTTTACTCTGTCCGTACTTCTAGTGTGTATCAACGTTTTCTGTGTATCAACGTCTAGTGTGTATGTACGTTTACTCTGTTCGTACTTCTAGTGTGTATCTAAGTCTAGTGTGTATGTACGTTTACTCTGTCCGTACTTCTAGTGTGTATCAACGTCTAGTGTGTTTGTTCGTTTACTCTGTTCGTACTTCTAGTGTGTATCAACGTTTTCTGTGTATCAACGTCTAGTGTGTATGTACGTTTACTATGTCCGTACTTCTAGTGTGTATCAACGTTTTCTGTGTATCAACGTCTAGTGTGTATGTACGTTTACTCTGTCCGTACTTCTAGTGTGTATCAACGTCTAGTGTGTTTGTTCGTTTACTCTGTCCGTACTTCTAGTGTGTATCAACGTTTTCTGTGTATCAACGTCTAGTGTGTTTGTACGTTTACTCTGTCTGTACTTCTAGTGTGTATCTACGTCTAGTTTGTTTGTTCGTTTACTCTGTCCGTACTTCTAGCGTGTATCAACGTTTTCTGTGTATCAACGTCTAGTGTTTGTACGTTTACTCTGTCCGTACTTCTAGTGTGTATCAACGTTTTCTGTGTATCAACGTCTAGTGTGTTTGTTCGTTTACTCTGTCCGTACTTCTAGTGTGTATCAACGTCTAGTGTTTGTACGTTTACTCTGTCCGTACTTCTAGTGTGTATCAACGTTTTCTGTGTATCAACGTCTAGTGTGTTTGTTCGTTTACTTTGTCCGTACTTCTAGTGTGTATCAACGTTTTCTGTGTATCAACGTCTAGTGTGTTTGTACGTTTACTCTGTTCGTACTTCTAGTGTGTATCTACGTCTAGTGTGTTTGTTCGTTTACTCTGTCCGTACTTCTAGTGTGTATCAACGTTTTCTGTGTATCAACGTCTAGTGTTTGTACGTTTACTCTGTCCGTACTTCTAGTGTGTATCAACGTTTTCTGTGTATCTACGTCTAGTGTTTGTACGTTTACTTTGTCCGTACTTCTAGTGTGTATCAACGTTTTCTGTGTATCTACGTCTAGTGTGTTTGTTCGTTTACTCTGTCCGTACTTCTAGTGTGTATCAACGTTTTCTGTGTATCTACGTCTAGTGTGTTTGTTCGTTTACTTTGTCCGTACTTCTAGTGTGTATCAACGTTTTCTGTGTATCTACGTCTAGTGTTTGTACGTTTACTTTGTCCGTACTTCTAGTGTGTATCAACGTTTTCTGTGTATCTACGTCTAGTGTGTTTGTTCGTTTACTCTGTCCGTACTTCTAGTGTGTATCAACGTTTTCTGTGTATCAACGTCTAGTGTGTTTGTTCGTTTTCTCTGTTCGTACTTCTAGTGTGTATCAACGTCTAGTGTTTGTACGTTTACTCTGTCCGTACTTCTAGTGTGTATCAACGTTTTCTGTGTATCAACGTCTAGTGTGTTTGTTCGTTTACTCTGTTCGTACTTCTAGTGTGTATCAACGTCTAGTGTGTTTGTTCGTTTACCTTGTCCGTACTTCTAGTGTGTATCAACGTTTTCTGTGTATCAACGTCTAGTGTGTTTGTTCGTTTACTCTGTCCGTACTTCTAGTGTGTATCAACGTCCAGTGTTTGTTCGTTTACTCTGTCCGTACTTCTAGTGTGTATCAACGTTTTCTGTGTATCAACGTCTAGTGTGTTTGTTCGTTTACTCTGTTCGTACTTCTAGTGTGCATCAACGTCTAGTGTTTGTACGTTTACTCTGTCCGTACTTCTAGTGTGTATCAACGTTTTCTGTGTATCAACGTCTAGTGTGTATGTACGTTTACTCTGTCCGTACTTCTAGTGTGTATCAACGTTTTCTGTGTATCAACGTCTAGTGTGTATGTACGTTTACTCTGTCCGTACTTCTACTGTGTATCAAAGTTTTCTGTGTATCAACGTCTAGTGTGTTTGTTCGTTTACTCTGTTCGTACTTCTAATGTGTATCAACGTCTAGTGTTTGTACGTTTACTCTGTCCGTACTTCTAGTGTGTATCAACGTTTTCTGTGTATCAACGTCTAGTGTGTTTGTTCGTTTACTCTGTTCGTACTTCTAGTGTGTATCAACGTCTAGTGTTTGTACGTTTACTCTGTCCGTGCTTCTAGTGTGTATCAACGTTTTCTGTGTATCTACGTCTAGTGTGTATGTACGTTTACTCTGTCCGTACTTCTAGTGTGTATCAAC